TTTGTATATGGGGGATTGGGACTTGAGGTTATTTGGTTTCAATTTTTGTTCGATCTATATGTATTATGACTTCGTCACTTGCTTAGTGCTGTCTATACCCTACCGATGTTTGCTGTGGACAATAGCGACTGCTTTTGTTTTTCCTAGGACTTGCATATAGTGAGGTCTCAAAAGTAACTTTTCCATTGCTCATTATCTCATTTCTCATAGGCAAGGTGGCGTGTATAAGCACGTCTATGTACACTATTTGCCAGATACTTTGTTGCGATTTCTAGTAACACTTGTAGGCACGAACTTCAGAGCAGACATAGACTTTTCCAGTTCGTCAATGTCCATGTCATTTGGTGCTTTCTTTTCAGGGATTGCTGCTGCCGGTGGATTCGATTGAGATGCCGAGCTTCGGCGCCGCAACCTGCCCTCCAAAGCAGACGACGTTGAGATGCGTCGTCTGTGACTGTTCATAGGCCGTAGCATAGATGTTTGTGTATCGATGCCATCATTGACAATGTAAAAGTTGTAACTCTGTAGAATGTGTTAGTGACGTCGGGGCCCTATTCTGACCTGGAACCATACCCTGGGAAACATGTGCTTGTCGATAAGATGTAGCCGTCGTTTCTGTGGGGTTGAACATTTTCGCTCGCAGTCTTCAATGAAGCACCCGAACTTTGCTTTTATTTAGTAGAGTGGGCCATATTGATAGGCTAGCACTTACAGTCTTGTCTCCACGGGCTCTCCGCGCAGCAGCTAACGGGTCATGGTTCTCCTCGATGTGTAGGTTGAGCAAATGACCCGTGGGGAAGTTCTTGCTGCACTCGGAGCAACGGTTGACATGAGATTGAAGATAATGGACCTCGTAATCCTCGTAGGATGTGAATGACAGCGTCTCGCGGTGAGGCGGTAAGGAACAATGCATCACCTCGGGGAGGATGTTGGTATCACTGTCGATGAACTTGTTGCGCTCAGAAGAAGGAGTCGTAGTATTCACTGCGATTGAGGATACGGATATCGAATCTTGCTCGAGAGATGGAGATCTCGAGCTTCGGGGTCGTTTCGACATGGTCTATTTCACCTTGCATATATGGATTGATAGGTCAAGTTAGGGGTACGGAGGAGTACAGCGACCATGCTAGACTTAATTTATTCCACTCTCCGCCTTTCTCTGTATAGAATACATAAGGAGGTTTTATTCGAAGGTTAGCGGCTAGCTATATATAGGCTCAGACTATAATGTACAGAGTGCGTAGCAATGTTTTCCAAAGTTACTTTCGCTCATCTCTAGATATCTTTTTCTAGTGTTCGGGCAAACTTTCATAGAAAGTACGTCAACACTATGCCGTAGTAATATAATATCAAAATCTCGCATAAATTTTCAAAGAATTTATAGCTAATTTAACTTGAAGCTAGTCAGAAAGCATCAATGACAAAAGTATCCAGTTAAGTCTACGGATCTCTCCTAAAGCTATAGCCCATATGGACAATGTGTTGAAGCATGGTAATCTGTAGAAGACGATCTAACATGGATAATCGGCGCATTTGAAGTTCTCTTCACGTTCTTTTCATTATTTGACTGCACATGTCCGATGAAATAAAACGTGTAATCGTCATACGAAACACGATACCTCCCGCCTTGGCAACACCAATCATCGCAGTAGGCCGGGACCGCATTTATGCATTTTCATACTCTCGACTCTCATCATCGTGCGCTTTCATGTCTCTTACATACTGATGGCTCCTCCGCCGCTCACATTCCAAGCCATAGCCATCTGACCGGCGAGGTTGACGCTCGGGATACCCGGGCTAACTCCCTGATGGCGCCCTCGTTCCCGGATGCCTGGAAGTCAGTACTTTCCCCTCGATTTTTGGTTGGATCGTGAACATTGACCAGTTGTGTGGCATAGGACTGCGATAGAAGCTGAGAAGGAGCTTCTGCAATGTTTCTCGCAAGAACGGCGCACATTCGATGAATTCGAACATTTCCTCTCCGAGTCAGTGACGAGCCCCGCGCGCACCACTCAAGGCTGACCTCTTTTCACATAGGTTCCGGACCTCTTCTCAAAATGCAATCCTCCTTGACTTCAATGCTTCCCGCGAGGTCGATGTGGAGAGTCGTCTTTGGGATGCGCACTTGAAAGTGAACAATCGGTTTCGGAAGCAGTTGCTTCGCGTGAGTAACACCCCCACCGGAGCTTTTCGCAAGGGTGGATTCACTAACTGTGTTTTGGTGTCAATTAGTTTCGCGAAGAGCATGGCAAGAAAAAGCCAGTCGAGAGGCGCAAACTCGAACGCCATTACCTCGATTTCATCAAGTCAAGCCAGCGGTTTTACCGAGGATACATCCAGCATTTGTCGTCACGATTTGGGGGCATTGTTGAGTTAGAGAGAGTTGCGCGCAAGTTCAATTTTGAGAGTAAGACAGGCACACAAGCTGCGCGCCACGTTTCTAGACATGCTGACCCGCGGTTGTTTCTAGATCTGTCCGGCCAACCTCCTATCAAGCCCCCCAATGATCTGCGCAGGCTCATTCTCCAGTCATGCCACGCAACCCTTATCCGACTGGGAGACCTTTCCCGCTATCGTGAATCGGAACTCGTCAGCAAAGATCGCAACTGGGGCCCTGCTATCGGTTATTATGATTTGGCGTCGGTGATCAACCCTGCGTCGGGTGCTTCTCAGAACCAATTGGCAATTATCGCTCTCGCGGATGGAAATCACCTTCGTGCCACCTACCATCTCTACAGAGCCCTTTCAGCCCAAGAACCTCATCCTACTGCGAAGGGCAATCTGGAGATTGAACTCCGAAAAATCATGAGCGCCTGGGCTAAACGAGAGCTGATTCGCCCCGAAGATGCCGGTATCCCTGGAAGGGCCTTGACTCCGTGGTTCCTCTATCTCCATGCCAAATGTTACAAGGGAACCGACTTCCCGGAGCACGATGAGTTAGAGAGTGAAGTTCTTAGCCAACTCGCAGTTGAAATTAGAGAACGATCATTAGAAGGGACACTCCAAAAGTTCTGTCTCATCAATATCGCAGCCGAGGATTTTGCCAAGGTCCGGTCCGTTGGTAAGAGTTAGAACCATTATCATTGCTCATGCATATGCTTACCTATTCCTCAGACGAGTCCGTCTTGGATGCACGCGTCTTTTTCCAGCGCATCAATGTGAAGACCTTTTTCACCTTATTGCAAATACTTTTGGTCGAATTAGAACGGACTGCTTCTTTTGAAGATCCAAACAGCAAAGACGCACTGCCTATCCCAGACAAGGTGTCTGTGGTTGCTCGCCGGATCTTGCCCGCGCTTCGCCATTACAGCTCCTGGCTACTCACAAACAGCCAATCTCTGATTGAACAGAAAGACGAAAAGGACTCCGCGCTCTCGATCCAAATCAAAGAATTCTGGAAAATTTATGCCGGTACGCTGAGCCTGCTCGCATCCTCGTTCGACGTGGCCAGCCTTCCCGAGATTGATTATCTATTGGAAGAAGACGAAGAAAGTCTTGGTTTTGCACCTCTGGATCAAGATGCCACTTCTCGCCGATATGGTCGAGGTGGTGATCAGTCAAAGCCTCGGATGCACGATCTTGGGATTGAAAGAAGCCACCCCAACATGGAAATGCTCTATCGAATTCGTGAATTCGTGATTGATGGACTCGACTTGGTTGTGAGAGGCGTATGTGAAAAGCTCTTAACATATTGTTAACAAACAGATTGCTGACCTCGTTTAGAAAATCCCCGTTGCTCTTGTGGATAGTGAAGATAGGAAGACATTCATCTACCAGGAAGAGGATCTGCCTCCCCAATTCTATTCCAGCCCCCATGGCCGCCAGCATGCACTTTCGGTTGCGAGCATTGAGCGCGAGGATATCCCACAGGCCGCTCAAAATACATACTCTGCTGCAGAAGCCCAAAGTTTGTTCGGCGGTTCCCAGTCTGCATCGGCATCTATGTCTGCCAACATGCATCAGATCGTTGAGGGTGTTGAGCGACTTGTTGACTCAGACACGTATGAAACCCTTCCCAATGACCAATTTGCTTTCATGAGCACGGGTGAGATATCGACACCTACGCATGTCTCACCTAATGTCAATGCTTATCCGTTCCGTGACGAAAACTCCCCACCTCTCACCACCCCAATCGCCCCTCCACCTGGGCTAGGCCCCCCAGTCATGAACACAGCCGATTCTCTCAGAACGCCATCAGCTCAGTCATATACCTCACGCCCTGCCATCCCCAGCCTCCCCAGCATTTGGACGCCACTGAGAGACACCGCCCCTCCACGAACGCCTCCTGGCCTTGGTCCACAACCTGGCCAGCAAGCTCCACTGCACCACCTGACCTCTGGGAATGCCATGCCCTCTGAGCGCTCACCGTCGCAAGATCAGGTAGCAAATGAACTCATGCTCCGACAGCACCTGATGGCCCAGACGCAGTTTTCAAACTCGCTGGATGTAGGATCGATGCCCACACCATGGGCCTCATCCAACCTGTCTCATGCTCGTCCCACCGCCAGCGGCTGGGATCACGGCCGAGCGACCTTCGGTGCATTCGAACTCCCGATCCAGCCAACTCCTAGCAGCCTGGGACATCCCTCATGGGCCAATGACGCGTTCATCGCCAGCAGCCTCGGTGGAGCAAATCCTTATAACTCCGGGATTGGTGGGCGCAAGCCTGGAACACAGCTTGGAGCAATCGGACAAACCCCACCATGTGGCCAAGGAGGCTGATTCCAATACCCAAGCTCTCATTTTTTAGTTCTTCTATGTGCATATGCATATTACACTACCAGCCGGGCAAGCTGTCGGAATTAACAGTGCAACTCGACCTCCAACTATCCTGGCGTGTACTGTGTTTGTCTATGAGCGTGGCCTGTGTACCTGTGTACTGCGATGCGACTTTACTTACCTTGAGTCTACACATTCAGCCCTACTCTGACAGTGCGCACTTTTACAACGACCAGACGAGATTTGTACTGCTAGACAGTTCACAAGTGGCAGATCCCGCACTAGTCCTCTGGTGGCGAGGACACTGATGGTTGTTTCCAGAATGTAGGAACTTCTTTGGTCCTCGCTCTCCTCGCAATTTGTTTGGACGGATACGTGCGTTCAACACACGACATGATCAATTCGAGGATATGAACATGGACAATCTGCCATCGGAGAAGACGCTTGTTTCGTTCTGTTTTCTGCCTTTTCTTCTTTTCATGCAACATGGCCTGGATCCCGTTATCCCCATCAACTTTAGCCTTGTTTACTTTTCTTCTATTAAAGAATCATGTCGCACGAACATACGGTGATCTTTGAATCGAGTATGGGTCTGCATATTGCTTGGGGCCCATTAACCAACCTCTTGACACCATCGTGCTGGTTATGTAGGTAGTTGAAATTCAATTTTGCGTTTTGCGTGTTTTTCTTCATAGTAGTTTGTTCTTTCATATGAATAAATAGCAAGGATTGCCCGAACATGTTCATTCATCAAGTGGCCAAATAATATGAGGACAAAATTCTCGGTAAAGTATGGCCATTGTTCGATTTTTCAGAGAGTACGTTGAAGTCATCAAGTTTTAAAAAAGGAAAAAATTGGGTATAGAGGGTTGAATCATCCAAAGTCAGGTGGTGCTCATCCGGTTGTTGAACTGGATTGCACAAAATCTTCCAAAATTAGGTTGGGAGATGTGTTGAAGGTGTTTTGGTAGTCTATGCTTTTTTCGTAGCCTACATTACGAACGCTTAAGAGCGAGAGTAGGTCTGCTTGGGGGAGGGGAAGCTGCGGGACCAAAATTGTTAGCTAGTATTCTGCAAGGTGTTGCTTTGGAAGAAACTCACGAAGGTCCAAGCTCCTGGATGCTCTTGCTGGCGAGCCACTGACCCATGTCGACGCTGTCATCGAGGGACTTGCCCGAGACGACACCAGCGCAGAAGCCACCGGCAAAGGCATCACTATAGGGGACAAAGGTTAGTAAAAATGAATGTGGGGTTGTTCAAATCAATATCACTTACCCAGCACCGTTGGTGTCGTTGATGGCCTCCTTGGAGATCTCGTGGACCTTGAACTCCTTCACCTCGACGTCACCAGTGGCAGAGCCAATGGCGACAATGGTGGGGAGAGTGCCCTGGGTGACAATGGCAACACGGGGACGCTGGGTGTTCTTCTTGGGGAGCTGAGCAAGCTTCTTGGCGATCTCGGTGATATCCTCCGTGCCCCACTGGTGGCCTTCGGCGTAGGCAATAGCCTCAGTCTCGTTACAGAAGGTGTAGTCGGTGTAAGGCAGGACGCTATCAAGCTGGTCCTTGAAGAACTGAGCAATGAAAGGAGCAGAGATAGAGAGCATGAAGGTCTGATGAAAATAAATAGATTAGAAAAAAGCTCCAATGCATCAAAATGCAAATGACATACCTTGTTCTTGGCGGCAGCCTCCTCACCAAGGGCGATGATGGCGGGCACGCAGACAGTCAGGTGGTAACCACCGACGTAGTAGACCTGGGCCTTCTCGACCAGAGACCAGACCTCGGGCTGCTTGAGGTGCTCAAGCTTGTACTCGTTGGCAGCAGCGAGGTGGGTGCACATGCTGCGGTCGTGGCCAGTGATGACAACACCGCACTTACCGGTGGGCTGGGCCTCATCAACACGGTACTCGGTGTGGACACCGGCCTCCTCGCAAGTCTTCTTGAGGATGTCGCCGAACTTGTCCTTACCGATACAACCGATGTAAACAACGGACTGCTCGGGGAGCATGTACTGGGAACATTGTCAATATCAATATTGCAGATCGCGAATGTGCTTTAATGCATACCTGGGCACCACGAGCGGTGTTCTGAGCGGCACCACCGGGGATCAGCTTGGCGTCGCGGGCAAGCAGGTCCTCGTAGATACCCATGTGCTTGTCCTCGGCGAGGATAGCATCATTTGGCTTCAGGTCATACTTCTCGAGGAGAGCGGCATCGCTGTGAAATATTATCAGCATCTGGTAACTTAGCATCATTTTATTTCAGGTTCATCCATACCCACGAGCCTGGATGTCTATAGTAGGCATGTTAGCATTTGATAAATATGACCAGATGATCCTTCACATACCGAGGAGAGGGTTCTCCAGACACAGAAGAGGGTAACCTTGAGGAGCAGCCATTGTTATATGATTAATGAGAATGAGAATGGAATTGAAGTAAAAAGGGTGGGAGAAGTGGGAGGATATGGAGGATATGGAGGGGTTGGCAGAAAAGGGCGGACTGCGCATCCCCGGTCCACCGGTAACAGCCGACCTTGGGAGCTGCTATTCACCAGCTCTTTGCTCTATACCTTCATATATAATCAAAAATGGCCGGCCACGCTATGGATATCCCGCAGATAATCCAGTCTGCGAGTATCAACCATAATCCTGACCCAGCTCATGACATCAACCCAGCCACGGCAGCTTCAGAGAAACAACCTGTCGTGGTAGGCCCGGACTCCGAAACAGCCAGCATTGCCTCCGACATTGTCCATCCAAGCCGAGTAATTCGACCAGTCCACCGGCGACAGACTCTTCCTCCTCTTCCTGATCTGCGCTTTGAGCAGAGCTATCTGGCCAGCATTAAGGATGCCGATACCTGGGGACGAGTGGCGTGGATCACCACTAGGGATCAGGTATGCATTGCCTCCATTCAGTTGATCCCTTTAGGGTTTCAAGAATACAATATCTGACAATACCTGGCTAACACATGATCTTTTCTCTTCTAGGTACTTCTCCCTCTGATCCAAGGAACCGTCTGGACACTCGCACTCTCGGGCTGGCGCTTCTGGAACCGCAATGCCTCAGTCAGCGGGCACACCCTCGGCAGTCGGGTTCGCAGATGGTGGTACGAAGTGAACAACTGGCATCTACCGCAAATTGGCTCGGCCAGGGATCCTAAACTGGCGTCGCAGGTTGAAGATGTGAGTACCTGCTTCCCTAATAATCGATCTCCCATCTGATATCAGCAGAAATGGCAGAAGTGGAGAGGCTGACGCTCGAGGAGTTTTTGCAGTTTTACACGGCCCAGTTCTCTAGTGCAGGCTCTGACTGAGGTCAGCTCTGCGCTGGACGCGACCTATTAGTATCTTGATTCGGGGATCCGGCCACTGGCTTCTGTGTACACTGTATTGCTTGCATTTTTGGCGTTCGCGCGGTTGGAAGCGCCTGTTGTTGATTCCCATTTGCATTTCCTATATCCCTTGACTCTACTATGTAGTAGATTATCTTATTTTTTGCCATATATCTAGCGTACTGGGCAGACCTCACGGGCTGCCGCGTCAGAATACAACATTTGCGTTGTCGGTTGGCACAAATCCGTATACATTTGTAACGTTGTCTACTGTGTATTGAACTTATCGGGCCATTGTTTATGAGAGAGATAATATTTGTCCTGGCACCATTCCATTACTTCGTATACCGTTTCAAGCTTGAGTCACCACACAGAGCTAATATAAAGTACAATTGTAATCCAAAAAGATCTATCTAGCAACAGTTCGTAGAATGTACATTCCTACTCTCTTTTTGGTCTCTTTCCAGCCTGACTGAACAGAATTTAAAGCCAAATGTTTCAATTTTGACTCACGCCGTTTGAAGAAACGGACGGCGCAGCCACGGCTACTGTAGTATGGGTCGGTACTTGGGGTATCGGAGCAGAAGGGTGTGAAGGTGCAATCATGGTAGGGGCCTGCTGCGCATCCGAGGTTGATTGATGGGGGAGTGTCGTCGGCGGTGCTTGGGCGGAGGAAGATGTTGCAGCTTCTCCGGAATCCTTCATTTCGATATCTTCCACTGGAGGTGATTTGTGGATATGGACCTCCGGATTGCCAGATGCGTCTCCCTTGCCATATCGAAGTTGCACGACAAGGCGTTCAGGCTCCTCATTGCCGGTTGACTCATCTGCGCTCGTTTCGTTCTCTTCATTGTCGCCTTCGAAATCGTGCTCCAAATCGTCTTCGACGCCTTTCCATTCGTTGCAGCTTTCATCCGCACTTGAATGGACTTCAGATACATCCTCCAGATCATCGGGGTCGTATCCAGAGTATCCGTTGGGGTGGGTCGAAGTTCGAGCTCTCTGCGGTCTGCTGACTTCTTCTTCTTCTTCATCATCGAACTCTTCGTCATCAGCTCCGTCGCGTTGACCAGTCAACAGAGCCTCGCCATAGAGGCCCCCGGCACGAGATCGGATCTGCCTCCCGCTTGCCGTGAATCGAGGGCGCCTAGACTCCGTAGAAGATTCTGTAGGAACCGCATTTCTAGCGGAGCGACGGGCGGAAGGCTCATCATCAGACAAGAAGTCTTCGTCTTCCGAGTACGTGTATTTCAATTTCTTGCCGCGTGTGCGACCTTCATACATAGAGAACCCAGGGTCCGGACGAGTGAAGGCAGCTTTTCGTGCGAGACGATACTCTCGGCGTCTTCGTTTCTAATAATTCATTAGCAAAATTCAATTACTCTGAAGATAGGAAATCACCTCTTCGGATGCCTCAAATCGAGGAATCGAAGCGCGAATTCTTTCGCTGAGCTTCTTGGAGTTTGTGCCTTTTTCACCCTCAAGTTTCTCTACGACGGCCTCCAGCTCGGGAATACTCCCTGCGATGCTCCACCAAGAGTTGTGTTTAAGGGCCGGGTTACTTTCGCGATAGAGACGGAAATTTGTATCATCGTGCCCTTCGATAAGCCAATACCGACGTTTTAGGCTATCCCGACCCCAGGGTTGGACAGACAATGGTTGATTGAGGTCATCATCGTGGCGCGCCTGCTTGTAGGATTCTTTGATTTTCGCCTGGACAGCTTCGGACGACGAAAGTGACCACAGGATCAAGGACTTCAATAAACGCAGCTAGGACGAGACATGTCAGAATCGCAAATCAGATGTCGTGGTAGATCTTAAAAACATACGCGTTCCACGGGGTCCATGGTCGCAAAGCTGCGACCCCCATGAAGGGGATTTTTGCCCTCCCATTCTTTTGGCCACTGCGACTGATGTGTATGGATTGCTTCTTCGAGGGGACGTGTAAAGTGATGCCGCCTGTATGTTTCAAACATTAAATTAGGACTTGACTTCACAACTGATAGAGCGCGTGTTGAACATGCGTGTCAAGCACTCCGCACGGTATCGGGCGACAGGTGGCGACCATACTCAACTTCCTTCTTGCGGTTCAGAACAAGCCCAAGCAATGCGCATAGAAGTCTTTCAATGTATTCTCCAGGGGGAGACTCTTCAATTCCCTTCTCAATATCCTGGGGGCCGTAGTGTGGAACTCCTTTGGGGAACACTTCATGAAAACGCGCGCGGAACGCAACGATGAACTAATTATTGCGATAACTCAGCAAGCGTGTCCTATTGTTGACCGAACGCGTCATATACATGTCCGTAGATCAAGCAATGCGCAAAATCTTCCTGCAAAGTAAACTTACCGCGATATCAGGGTTGTCGGCCAGAACATATTCATGCGGAGGTGATGGTTCCCGCTTTGGTGGCGGCGTCTCAGATTCCTTCTTGAAGTACTTTGCGATACCAGTCGGATGGTCAATCGCCATGTTAGCTTCGTCATCTGTCGGAGGTGCCGATGATAGTGATGAAAGTTCCGAATCTGAAGGCATGGTGGAAGTGATGGGGTAGGTGATGAAGGAAGAAGTAAGTTGCGCGCAATCGAGCGTCACGTCTGCACCAAGCTTGCGCCCGAAGGACGATTATTTAAAGGATTCCGGACACAACTGCTCCCTTTGTTTATAACTTTTTTTTACGGAGACTTCTTGCAGTCTTCTAGAAGAGGATATCTCAAACAAATGGGATATTGGGATGAAAGCGGCTTGGATTTTGGAGATTTGTGTATAGAGATAGAGCTCAAGAGAGCTGGTGAAGGACTGACGAAGTCCCATTGAATATTTCCAAACAAGCAATTAAGCTAAGGAAGTATAATAGCCTAGTGAGAATGGATGCGACTGGTTGAGACGGCTTTACATATCTGTTGCTTTCATACTTGAAGTACGCGACAAGCATTGTCAACGATTTGATATTGGTATATGTAATGCTTTGAGAGACAAATATGGCCCAAAGCTATTTGGGTCTCATCTTATTGACATTCCCATCACATCAAGACCATAGATAGAAGTATGGAATATACAGACACAGCTGTTTTGAGGTCCGAGGAAGAGAGTAACACGCCAAAAGGAGACTCTTGGCGATGCCAGGTCTTGGCAATCACGTGTAGATGATGACATAAGTTGCCCTCCCAAAATCTACAGGGCTTGCACTGAAAGAGTTCCTTCAGACATAAAGTAAAGGTTATATAGAGATTTTTGAGTCGGTAGTGTTTTTAAATACTGCATTAAATTCAGTAAGGCTATTTGTATCAATAAACATCATATAAACCCAGCGTATAGGCCTATTTTAGAAATGCCTGTGTTTCTGTAGTTCAACCAATTCAAGTAAGCGACCATGCGCTATACCCGATTGGGTTAGATTAGCGACCGCACCCTAAAGCCCACACAAGTCCCCGTGTCCGATGATTTCTCAACTCGTCAACGACAAGCCTATCTTCACTTCGAGGTACGACTACCACTTTCCTACGACAATTCTGTTCGACTTCCATACTAACATAGGATCATCGTATAGACAGTCGCCATGGGTCGTGTCATCCGCAACCAGAGGAAGGGCCGTGGCTCCATTTTCAGTGAGTGCGACCGCAAACCATCCCAGCACGAAATTTCGAAGCTGCGCACCCCGAGCAGCGAGGAGGAAACCCAGAGGACCATTGGAAAACCACACAGATTCGCAAGGAGATTGGAGTGCTGATATCGAATTTTTCTTTACTTTACAGCGGCCAACACCCGCCTGAACAAGGCCCCTGCCCAATTCCGGACTCTCGACTTCGCTGAGGCTCACGGTTACACCCGTGGTGTCGTCAAGGAGATCATCCACGATGCCGGCCGTGGTGCTCCCCTCGCCAAGGTCCAGTTCCGCCACCCCTACAAGTTCAAGATGATCACCGAGACTTTCATCGCCAACGAGGGCATGTACACCGGCCAGTTCATCTACGCCGGTAAGAACGCTGCCCTCACCGTCGGCAACGTCCTTCCCCTCGCCTCTATGCCCGAGGGTACCGTCATCACCAACGTCGAGGAGAAGGCTGGTGACCGTGGTGCGCTCGGCCGTACCTCCGGTAACTATGTTACCGTTATTGGCCACAACCCCGAGGATGGCAAGACCCGTGTCAAGCTCCCCTCCGGTGCCAAGAAGGTCATCAAGAACACCGCCCGCGGTATGGTTGGTATCGTTGCCGGTGGTGGCCGTACCGACAAGCCTTTGCTCAAGGCTGGTCGTGCCAAGCACAAGTTCGCTGTCAAGCGCAACTCTTGGCCCAAGACTCGTGGTGTTGCCATGAACCCCGTCGATCACGTAAGTTTCAGTCTATACACAGACCCGATGACATCCAGGGGTGCAATCTCTAACAATTTTCTCTATAGCCCCACGGTGGTGGTAACCACCAGCACATCGGTAAGGCCTCGACCATCTCCCGCTACGCTACCCAGGGTCAAAAGGCTGGTCTCATTGCCGCCCGCAGAACTGGTCTGCTCCGCGGTACCCAGAAGACCAAGGATTAAGGGTGCTTTTTCTTGGAGTTATTCTTGTGACGGGTTGAAAATGGAATTCTGCTATGAGACAAATGTACTTAGGCGCCTGCGGATGAGCGTCTCATGCGCCCTTAGCGAATTAAGGTTGTGGACACCATCCTTTTTCTTGTCGGACAAATCAAAGGGTGATGGAAAGGGGTCCGGGGTTGGCCTCTACAGGGCAGAAACGAAATCAAAAAGCCTTTGGGGCTGTGGAATGATACACCTTTAAATTTTTCATCGTTCCTGTCCATCACCCCTAGTAGAGATTACAGTCTGTCGTAATTCAATCGGCATATACATTGCGCTGCATAATCGTTGTCACCATGGTCTGTTACCGATGCCATGCAGCAGTGAAGCCCAATGATTTCTTTCTCGAATAATTTCAACATCAACAATACTACTAATATGTGGTGATATTGCACAATAGCCGTGCGATCAGAACGGGCCCAGATGCCTATACTATGTGTAACTATGTACCTCTGTTTTCTACAAACCGTTCATCAGAAATTGAAAATCATAGCTCCAGCGCAGTCATTTCGTGAAGTTAACTATGTCATACTACAGACAGAGTGGACGCGCGCGCCAACGCAGATCAAACGAACCCAGAGAAACCCGGTCTATCTAACCCCTCTCTTCCCCTTTAGCTCCCTCTCTCCTCAAAGCTCACTCGACCCCATATGCTGGAGAAACCATTAGACCATTCTTACCATGTCATCACTACTTGATGAACAGGCTATGAACCAGCTACAATCTCAACAGTCGGAGCTACTAGACAAGATTGACGAGCTGCGTGCTATTGGAGTTGGAGGCCTCGTGGAGCTACCTCAAATCATCGTCTGTGGTAACCAGTCTAGTGGAAAAAGCTCCGTACTGGAGGCAATCTCCAGAGTGCGCTTTCCATCCAAGAGCAACATCTGCACTCGGTTTGCGACCGAAATTATTCTTCGCCGAAGCCCTACCGAAAAAATTTAAGTAACCATCGAGCCTGGGGATTTCAGGAAAGATGAGCAGGAACAACAGCGCCTTCGAGCCTTCGCCTCCGACTCCTTTCCCTCCAGCGGAGACCTTCCCCCACTGATCGAAAAAGCGAAGGAATGCATGGGACTTTCCAGCACCGATCCTTCGAGCAAGGGATTCAGCGACGATGTGCTTAAAGTCGAGATCTCGGGCCCTGAAAAGCCAGAGCTGACTCTGGTTGACCTTCCGGGGCTCTACTACTCCAGTAGCAGCGAACAAAACGCGCAAGGAATGGAGATAGTTCAAAGGTTGACGGAAAAGTACATGAAAAGCACCCGGAGCATCATTCTAGCTGTCATCAGCGCAAGAGCCGATTATCATATCCAGAAGGTCTTGAACATCGCGCAGGCTTTTGATCCCAAATATGAGAGAGTTCTGGGTATTGTTACGCAGCCTGATATCCCCGAAGCGGGCTCAGAAGAACAAGAAACTTATGTACAGTTCATCAAGAATGAGAAAGTCAAGCTGCAACTTGGCTGGCATGTATTGCGCAACCGCTCGTTTGAGACGCGCGACATTTCCGATGATGCGCGAGATGTTCAAGAAAAAGAGTTCTTTGAAAGGGGACGATGGGCTTCCCTCCCTCGAGATCAAGTTGGGATTGAAAGTCTGAGACATCGTCTCAGTAAGATCCTACTTGATAATGTCCGTCGCAATCTTCCAGGCCTTATTGCGGACATACAAGAAAGGATTGCTCGTAACGAGCAGACACTGGCAAAAATGGGCGCGCCGCGCACAACTCTTCAGGAGCAACGCCATTTTCTTGTCGATATTAGCAGCAGATTTGCACGAATCACAAACCAGGCCTTGAATGGATCGTACGTCGATGAGTTTTTCGGTGGATTCAAAGACCATACGGCGACAACAGAAGAAACTCCTTTCCACCGACTGCGGGCAGTCATCCGTGAGCTTAATGAGTGCTTTGCTGAAGCAATGAGCATTCGCGGGAATCGGCGAATCATTCAATTCCCTGGGCCTGGACAGCTATTTTCTGTCAAGGACGTCGAGCAAGAGAGATCCAAGCCTTACATGGATAATTGGACACCGCTGTACATTTCCCACGAGACTCTCGTGGAGGAGATCAAAGAACAAGCCCGGCAAAGCCGAGGAATCGAGCTACCAGGTAGTGCAAACCATTTGCTTGTAGGCAGTTTGTTCCGGGATCAGTGCGAGCCCTGGGAAGAAGTTGCTAAATCGCATCTGTTGAATACCTGGGCTTCGGTTGAATACTTTGTCCAGCTGGTACTGAAGAACCTCACGGACGATCACACCCGTCCCTTGCTCATGCGACATCTCATCAGACCGGAAATGGAGAAAATGAAGGAGTCTTTGCTAGAAAAGCTTAGTGAATTGACTTCGTACTCCAAAAGAGGCCATCCGCTGCCCGTGGGGAAATCATTTCTCTCCAAGATGCAGGAGTCCAGAAGGAATCGACAGGTTTCTGCGTTGAAAAGAAACCTCCACTTGTCTGGATCTAACCATTCAACGGGAGAGGATATAAGAAGCACTTTCGATGTCCAAGATCTAGAGCGAGCAACACATCAACTACAGTCATCCAGCGATCAGTTTGCGGCAGCAGAGATTATTGATCAAATGCAGGCTTACTATGAGGTAAGTTAGACATGCTCATTGGAAATGAGATATCGGGTAATCCTAACAAGACACATTTGCAGACTGCAATCGTGACATTTGTCGATAACGTTGCTATCTTGGCAATCGAAAATTGCCTTCTTTTCCCTCTAGAGCATATATTCACCGGCAAGACTGTACTTAGTATGGATAACCAGCAGATTCGAGAAATTGCAGCAGAGCCATCGAACATTCAGAAGGATCGGGAACGTCTAAATGAAGAGCTCGAAAAGCTACGAAAGGGGAACCAGACCCTCAATACCTTCAGTACGGCGGACTCTACGCTCCGTGCTCGTCCTATATTAGGTATTCACATTACACATATCGGTTCATGGAGTCACGGGCTAATTGGACTATCATTTCAGCAGGACTGTCAAAGCCCCGAACCCAGACCCGAAGCCTTACAGGCACGGCTGCTCAGGTAGTGCCCAATACTCCTCGGCCTGATCTGTTGCCGCAAGTTTCAACTGCTCCCACTGGTAGGTAGCACTTTTAGATCTTATGTCGATATGTGCAAACGCTAATTGTTCCCAGGGTTCGTCGCGGCTCCTTTGCGGCCCCTTTTTCCAAATCCAAATAAAGGAGGCTTTGGTACAAGTCAGAGCTCTCCATTCTCTTCTAGTCTAGGGACAGAAAATAGCGGGTCTATGCCTATTAATGCAGCCACTGCCACATCCAGTCTGTTGGGTTCGCCGCCCGCTACACAATGGTCTACCGGGAATATAGCTGGATTAACGGGTGGGAGGTTCGGTTCGAATAATCAAGGCTTTGGCTCGTCGTCCTCTTCATCTGGAAGTTTGACTAGTTCAACTACCACGAAGTCCGGTTCGAGCAATCAAGGCTCTGGTTCGAATACTCAAATATTTGGCGCTCCAGGCTTTGGCTCGTCGTCTTCTTCATCTGGAAGTTTGACTAGTTCAACTACCACGAAGTCCGGTTCGAGTAATCAAGGCTTTGGTTCGAATACTCAAGGATTTGGCGCTCCAGGCTTTGGCTTGTCGTCCTCTCCATTTGGAGGTTCGACTAACTCAACTACCACAAAGGACGTGATACGTCACTTTGACGAGAAAAGATCTCCAGATACTCAGGGAAACAAGCGATTGTAAGTTGGAGGATGCGCGGGAAGGGTCGTTCTAATTCTTAGTCGCTTTGTACAGGTATGGGGAGAAAGATCCCCTCTCGGCTGCTATAGTGAACTATTATCAAAGCATTTGCTCTATTTTTCCATTTAGTGGATATTCCCACGAGGTTTGTAGATCCTTCGCAGCTGTTGAAATTTAGGAAACGCTTAGTACTATATTGAAAAAAAAAAGATATTGACAACCTGGCTAGGAGCTCCGACTAGGGGACTACGCGCGAAGAGGCCTTTGTGTCCCGACTTCGTCCTTTGGCTCACGGAGGCCGCACCAGCTTGAAAATCCGTCTATCAAGTCCAAATGATGCATCTTCGATATGATATCTACGATTATTTCGCTTTCTTGCTGAAGATGATAGTTATGTTTTATAGTCAAGCCAGGGTTGTACTACATATATATGTAAGAATCGAAGAGAAAATATACATGTGGAACGACATCGAAAGAAACCGGGAATGTAGGGGTAAAACCTAATATACCAGAGAGATCATCTAACCCTGCATGTGCATATTACATAGTGTGGATGTATACCGTAGGTGATATGAGGTGTTGGGAGCCATTCTGGATGCTGATTCGTCAGTTTGAGATCAAACATCAGGTTTCCCGAGATTTCACACTGCCTGGAGTTCGATGCCACAATGAAATACAATACCTTGAAGATATCTACAGTTTGAATACCCCATGAATATGACAGATCTATTAAAGCCGCAAGAGATCCCCCGACTTAGCTCGGATCCCCTCACCAACACGGAACGATGGCAAGCCATTTCCACTCGCGACATCACAGCCAATAGCTTCGTCTACGCGGTCCTCACCACAAAAATATACTGCCGCCCGTCATGCCCAGCACGCCTAGCCCGCCGCGCCAACGTCCAATTCTACGACACCCCTCCGCAAGCAGAGAAAGCCGGCTTCCGACCCTGCAAGCGCTGCCGGCCGCATTCGGGCCAGACGGCGGCTCAAAACAACCCACAAACTGCCATGATTAACAAAGCCTGCGAGTCAATCCGGAACATTCTGACGACCGGGCTGAAACCAAAATTAAAAGATCTGGCGGCAGAGGCTGGCTTGACACCCAGCCATTTCCATCGTGTGTTTAAGAAACATGTGGGCGTTACGCCCGGTCAATATGTAGAGAGCCTTGTGCAGAGCAACCTGCACTCGCCAGCCTCGTCACCGTCCGATACTTTTTCTGCAGTTAAAACACCGCGCTCCGCCTCTGATAGGGGTGAGATCTTGGATTTAGATAGGAATAGTGATAAAGGGGCTGGTCTATCGGCGGCTGGGGACGAAATCTCATTGATGGGTGGCTGGAATGAGTTTGACGTATTGCTGGCTTCTGAGTCGGAAACGTGGATGCCTGACTCATCTATTGACCCTCGAATGATTTTGGCCGAGTGGTGACCTGATTTTTATATTTGGAGAGAACCGGTATATATTTTCCAATAATATATAACTCAATGGCTGAATGAAAATTAACAGGGTTTAAGCCGTTTTCGATCGGTAACGCAATCCACTGATAGTCATTGGATCTTAATTTACTTACTCCGTACATGGACCCAGTGGGGATGGATCAACTGAAACATAATTGAAACTCGGTTTTCAAGCCATCGCACCGTGCGAGTATACGGAGTAATACATCAGACATAAGTAATTGCACCCCTCACACCTTATATTACATAATATTCTGCCGGCTTAAAGCAAACCTCCATTTACTATAATCACCTTAACTAATATAGCATATAATTAAAGGACTAGTTCTGGTAAATCTAGTAAATGAAGAATACAATCTTTGAGTCGCAAAAAAAGTAACTTCGCGTGCTATTTTAGAGTACTTTTCATAAGCACTATGCACTTTCGGAAGGCGGTATCAATGATGGTGTACATTTGTATTATATATTCCCAGTATTTTGTATATTACAAACAGTGCTCTGTACTCCGCACTCCGCATTAATTCTAGACCAGGTGGCAATAAGATAATTATAGTCAAAACGGAAACTTCAAAGCCAATGAGATTTACTGGGCTCCCCACTACATCCACTAACGCGTGTCACAGCTTTAACCAGTTTCCTCTCTCAGGCTATTTTAGTTCCTTCGGTTTCATACGAATACGGAGTCTCTAGAGAGACTATTCACCTTTTTTTTAAAAATCCAATTTTCTTTACTCAATAAGAATGGAAGAATACTTTATACAATGTATACAATGCCCCCAGGCTTTCTCCACTGATTGACAAGATTGACAAGATCGGCATTACTGCATGCATAAAATTGTATTGGTATTGTGACCTAATGTAGCCTATTTTCCTATATTTTCCTAGTTCCCCGTTTTATTTTATCATAATTGCGTGCCTCCAGGGGATTTAATCTAATTCCCAACCTCCTTTTCCCCTTCTTTCTTTCTCCTAGAGCATTCTAGTTGAACATTCCCTTGACTCTTTTCTTTCCTTTTCTATCTTGCACACTCGCTGGTTTCGATTATTCTTCCACATACCATTATCTCACATAACAACATGCACGTGAACAAGAGGATCGGCCGATTCAAACAATGGGCTGGAGAACGTATGGGCGGAGAGGCCAAGACCTGTCTCTCTGATGATTTCAAGGCAATGGAGACGGAGATGGGGGTGCGACATGAAGGTAGGAAGTGACCCCGCGCCTGCCTTTTATTTCATACTGATCCAATTTCTCTTTAGGCGTTGACCGCATTCATAAATCCATGACCTCTTATGTCAAGGCTATCTCGAAGCGCAATGAAGGAGATGACAAAGAGAAGACCCTCCCGATTGCCCATTTGGGAAGCAGCATGGTGGCCCACGGGGAAGACTTCGATGGGAACTCAGAATACGGACAATGCCTGATCAGTAAGTCTCGAGGACGAGTTCGGGGAATGCGGGAGAAGAGTCGCATTGTTAACAACTCGATCAGTGTTTGGGCGCACCGAAGAGCGCATTGCGCGTATCCAAGAGAGCTACATCGCGCAGGCGACTTCAAGCTGGCTTGAGTCCCTCGAGAGATCCCTGACCCAGATGAAAGACTTGCAGGTATGTCTTTCGACTTGCATTGAAGGTTGAAAATCATGTATTAACCTGCCTCATAGCATGCTCGCAAGAAGCTGGATAGCCGCCGGTTGGCATACGATACATCTCTCTCTAAGATGGAGAAGGCTAAGAAGGAGGACTTCCGCGTGGAGGAAGAACTGCGCTCGCAAAAAGTCAAGTACGAGGAGGCTAGCGACGACGTGCTGCGTCGCATGCAGGACATCAAAGAAGCCGAACCCGACAATGTCATGGACATGGGGGTGTTTTTGGACGCTCAGCTTGAATACCATGAGCGGTCCCGCGAAGCCCTCCTGCAGCTCAAGAATGAATGGGCTGGGTAAGCATTGATCTTGGCCGCTGCATCTCATGGATACTAACACTGCAATAGGTACGGCCAAGTGCAAGCCCCTCCCCGTCGTCCGACCCGTCCTCGTTCCAACACTGCCCACTCGTACCAGGAACGGTATGAACCACTGCAGGAAGAGACGATTAATGCGACAGAGATTCGGCCTACCATCCGATCAACCAGATCTACTACGAAGCTATACGCCGAGTCGCCTCCACGAGAGACCTATGGGAGTACTAGTGGGGTCTCGCGTCCCATTCTCAGCAGAGTTCCCACCTTCGAAGGCCCGGCTCAACTGCGACAAGAACAATCGCCAGTTGCATCACAGTGGATTCAGCAGCGAACTGCTAGTGAGAATCTATCTGGGTTTGGACGTCGAAGCAGCACTCAAGTTGGGGGTCGGATCTCCGCCGACCCTTACGCTGACTCCGAAGAGGTCAGCTCATATGGCCGTTCTAGCCCCGAGCGGATGTTTGGCGGAGGCAGGTCTATATCCCCCGCAACATCTCACGGCAGCGCGGTATCCCGGAGACCCAGTGCAAACAACTTGAACACCATTGGATTGAAGAAGGCTCCTCCACCACCTCCACCATCTCGTGCCAAGAAGCCCCCTCCACCTCCACCCATCAAGCGGTCCCTTCTTGCTGCACCAAATGCGTAAGGGGCCGATTTGAATGTGCCTTTTTACGTTTGTTCTTGATCATGAGCATGGGGTTTTGGAGTTTGGGAGCTTCTGCTCGGTTGTGGCTGTGATATTTATCATTCCGCCGCTGATCCCTTGAGTCTTACCTGGGGTTGTCCTGTCTTTTCCTTGATTGTTCTTTCTGGTTTGCTTTGCTGTGTTGATTGATTCCCGTCGAGGTCTGGATGATTCCCCGGCTACTATTAGTCTCGATGAGTTAGTAGGATGATGAGAAACGTGGATACATGTGTCTCCTAGCGAATAGGTAAATCCATTCAAGTCTTTATTTGCATTTTGCGTGTGTAATTTAGGTATGATTTTCGATCGTGTAGATACCCGTTGACAACAAGGGTGGACCCGGGTCCCTAGCTTTACAATGTATTGTCATTTTCATTATTATCGTAAGACAATTCAATAGAATCCATGAATCACTTGAATTGAATAGATCGAATATTCGACCATTTATTCACTCTTCTCTCACCACACTAGTAAGCTTATCCCAAACCGGTACGGTACCAGAGCTGCGCTGCCCCAGGCCACAATTCAGCACGGATTCACGTGATTGATGACTAAGGACCTTTGCAAAAAACTCCTTGCCAGGCTGTTGTCAGTCCTTTGCTCTGAGCACCCAGATTTCCCCGAGCCTGTCGCGCAACTCCGTTCCCTCATCTCCATTTTCATCCATCCACTTTTTGAACGCGCCATCCCAACGCGCCTTCAACTTTTGAGTTCCCCTCCCACCTTGCTTTACCCTGGGAACTCGCCTCTTTACTCGCTTTCTTTGACTCCCTTGTCCCTGAAAGTAACTGCTCCCCCATCGCATCGGAAGCTCCGACCACGCCCCAAACATCACACTTTCCATCGCCAAGCATCCCATACACTAGCCCACTGATCGCATTCACCATAAACAGGCTCACCCCACACTGTTGCTTGCCATTTTATCTCGATCGCGATCGCCCCTTCTCTTTCCCGCGCGACTTCGGCAATTGGAACCAGGTGGAGACCGTGACTTTCCACAACTCCGCATAGATCTTGACATTCCCCCTAACCTACCTCACTTGCTCATGAATTAAAAAAAAATACACGCGTCTCAATGGCTTCCTTACACCCAGCGCCTAGCATGGCGCCTGGCAACGTGAGCTTGCCGCCTAACCTCACGCAGCAAAATGTCCAGGAGATACTTCAGGTAAGTTTGTCGCATTACAATCACACACCTCGCCGTATATCAATTCTTTAGTTCCTCAATGCGCCTTACTATACCTTGTCTGCCCTTGCTATCGTCTCTAACCTTTGTCGCAGAAATACAAGCAAATGCAAGAACAAGGTGTTCGCCCTGATGACCCGGAGTTCATCAAGGCCCACAACCTACTTGCTGCCATTCAACGGCAACAGGCTTTCCAAAAACAACAGCGTATGGCGCAACAGCAGGCCCAGCAGCAGCGCCAACAGCAACAGATGAACGGCGCTACTCCTGAAGCTGCCAATGGCTCTCATGGTAAGCTTTGTCATCCACTCTCCTCGCCCGCCTCCCAAACCCAAGGTCTTCTACAGGACTGACATATGTTCCTATAGGTCGGACACCCTCGGCTTCCTCGACTGCTGCCACACCTAATGTCACCAATGCTGCCGCAGTTGCTCTGAATCAGAAGAACGCCACGGTTGGCAGTGGGAGCTTTTCACCAGAGCAACTAGCTACTCTTCGAAATCAAATCTTGGCTTTCAAGATGCTATCCAAGAACCTCGCCATTCCCCCGCGTGTCCAAGAACAGCTTTTCCAAAACCAGAAGAAGTCGCTACCACCTACTCCCACAGAGAATGTCACCGCAGCCGAAAAAATCATTGAAGCTGCCACTGAGGGTGCTGGCAGCCAGCCTCCAGAAAGCTCAGACGCTGAAGTCATGACCAGGGAGTGGTACGACAACTTCCAGTCTCCATACGACTCGCTCTCCAAGACCATTAGCTATACTGACCACGCCAACCGTGCAAATCGTGTACGTATCCCTGCTCTCTTGCCATCTGGCATCGACTTGGAGCAGATTCGCGAGGATCGTGAGATCATACTGTATAATAAAATCACCGCCCGCAAAGCAGAGCTTGCCCAACTTCCTGCCAACCTTGGCGTATGGGATACAAGCAAGAGTGACGCACCAACCTACGATGACTCCCTCAAGCTCAAGGCCCTGATTGAGTACAAATCACTTAATCTTTTACCTAAACAGCGACAGTACCGCAAGCAGCTCCAGAGCGAGATGTTCCACTACAGTAACCTTGGAATGACAGCTAATCGCTCGAGTCACCGCCGCATGAAGAAGCAGTCACTGCGCGAGGCTCGTATCACCGAGAAGCTTGAGAAGCAACAACGTGATGCTCGCGAATCTCGAGAGAAGAAGAAGCAGTACGATCAGCTGCAGGCCATCCTCAACCACAGCGCCGATCTCGCCAATGCTTCCGTCCAGCAACGTGCACGCTCGCAGAAGCTGGGTCGTATGATGATCTCACACCACCAGCACATGGAACGCGAAGAGCAGAGGCGCGTGGAGCGAACCGCCAAGCAACGTCTGCAGGCCTTGAAGGCTAACGATGAGGAGACATACCTCAAGCTTTTGGGACAAGCGAAGGATTCACGTATCTCTCATCTACTCAAGCAGACCGACAACTTCCTTAAGCAGCTTGCCGCTTCCGTCAAGGAACAACAGCGCAACCTGGCGAATCGCTATGGTGAGGCACATGATTACGACGATGAGTCCGACCAAGAGCTCGCGGATAGCGAAGATGAGGGAGACAATCACACCGCCACTGGAAAGAAGAAGGTCGACTACTATGCTGTTGCTCATCGCATCAATGAAGAAGTCACCACGCAACCCGACATGCTTGTGGGAGGTACTCTCAAGGAGTATCAGATTAAGGGCCTGCAATGGATGATTTCACTGTACAACAATAACCTGAACGGTATTTTGGCTGACGAGATGGGTCTTGGAAAGACGATCCAGACGATCAGTTTGATTACCCACATCATTGAGAAGAAGAAAAACAATGGGCCGTTCTTGGTCATTGTTCCACTGTCCACGCTCACTAATTGGAACAACGAGTTTGACAAGTGGGCGCCCGGCGTGAGCAAGGTAGTCTACAAGGGCCCACCCAATGCACGAAAGCAGCAACAGCAGCAGATCCGCTGGGGCAACTTCCAGGTTCTCCTCACCACCTACGAGTACATCATCAAGGATCGTCCGGTGCTCAGCAAGATCAAGTGGACACACATGATTGTCGACGAAGGTCACCGCATGAAGAACACGCAGTCCAAGCTCAGCAGCACCCTCTCAACCTACTACACCAGTCGTTACCGTATCATTTTGACCGGTACTCCCCTGCAAAACAACTTGCCCGAACTATGGGCTCTTCTCAACTTTGTCCTCCCTAACATCTTCAAGTCTGTCAAGTCGTTTGATGAATGGTTCAACACACCTTTCGCAAATACTGGTGGCCAGGACCGCATGGATCTGAGTGAAGAAGAGCAACTTCTCGTTATTCGTCGTCTTCACAAGGTTCTTCGGCCATTCCTGCTCAGACGTTTGAAGAAGGATGTCGAGAAAGATTTGCCCGACAAGCAGGAGCGTGTCATCAAGTGCCGATTCTCCGCCTTGCAGGCCAAGTTGTACAAGCAACTTGTCACCCATAACAAGATGGCTGTCACTGATGGCAAGGGCGGTAAGACTGGAATGCGTGGTCTCAGCAACATGCTTATGCAATTGCGAAAACTTTGCAACCATCCTTTCGTCTTTGAGCCTGTTGAAGACCAAATGAACCCTACTCGCATGTCCAACGACCTTCTTTGGCGCACGGCAGGAAAGTTCGAGCTGCTTGATCGTGTCCTTCCCAAGTTCCGTGCTACGGGTCACAGAGTCTTGATGTTCTTCCAAATGACTCAGATTATGAACATCATGGAGGATTTCCTTCGCCTCCGTGGGATGAAATACCTCCGTCTGGACGGATCCACCAAGTCCGACGATCGATCGGAACTCTTGAAGCAATTTAACGCTCCTGGATCTGAGTACTTCTGCTTCTTGCTTTCCACCCGTGCAGGTGGTCTTGGTCTCAACCTGCAGACCGCAGACACTGTTATTATCTATGATTCGGATTGGAACCCTCACCAGGATTTGCAAGCCCAGGATCGTGCCCATCGTATTGGCCAGAAGAACGAGGTCCGCATTTTGCGGCTTATCAGTTCTAACTCGGTCGAAGAGAAGATTCTCGAGCGTGCACAGTTCAAGTTGGACATGGACGGCAAGGTTATCCAGGCCGGAAAGTTCGATAACAAGTCCACTAATGAAGAGCGAGATGCACTTCTCCGAACTCTCCTGGACACCGCAGAGGCCGCGGAGCAAATCGGCGATCACGACGAAATGGATGATGATGAACTCAATGAAATTATGGCCCGATCCGAAGACGAAATTCCCATCTTCCAGGAGATAGACAGGCAGCGAATCGCCAACGACCAATATGGTCCTGGCCATCGCTACCCTCGACTGATGTGCGAGGAAGAATTGCCCGAAATTTATATGCAGGAAGATAATCCTGTCACCGAAGAAGTCGAGATTGAGGTCACTGGCCGTGGTGCACGTGAACGTAAGGTGACCAAGTACGATGATGGTCTCACCGAAGAGCAGTGGTTGATGGCAGTGGACGCCGATGACGATACTATTGAAGACGCGATCGCACGCAAGGAAGCTCGTGTGGAGCGTCGCAAGTCTAACAAGACTGGACGTGACGGAGATGACTCTTCACCTGAGCCTGAGCCATCAATTATTGATGAGGAGGACACTCCCCAAAAGCAGAAGCGCCGTCGTGGTCCTCCTCCTAAGCGCAAGGCCGAGGAAGTTGTGGAAGAAACCCCACAGCCTAAGCGCAAGAGAGGCCGCCAGCCTAAAGTTCCGGATACTCTCAACCCCACTGACCGTGCTAACTTGACTCGCATTCTTGAG